GGACGAAAGATTGACAAATTATTTTTTGTCACAAAAGATCTGTTGTGACGAAATATGACTTTTGAATGACAAAATATTTCGTCATTGATAATCAAATTTGTTGTAGTGAAAAGATTCACCCAATCTTGAGTGAGACGGATCCTCTTTCATTTGATAAAGATGAATGATAGGCAAATACAAGAATCTTAGGACCCTTTTCGGATCTAGTGGAGGGTATGGGATCATAGATACTCTAATCTCTTTAGAGAGATGTGTTTATCTCTTTTCTAAAGAGAGAGAGAGAGAGAGAGAGAGAGAGAGAGAGAGAGAGAGAGAGAGAGAGAGAGAGAGAGAGAGAGAGAGAACCTCCCTTCTTTAGAAGTCTTCGCTTCCTCTTTATAAGAGATATCCCTAGAAAAACCTAAAAAAGTACAATTAGAGAGAATATCCAGTAGAATCTTCCCTTTGAAGATTCCAAAGCAAAACTAACTGTTACATCTATCTGCACTGCTCGACCTCGGCCTTATTGATCACTGCTCGACCTCGGCCTTATTTATCACTTCGGTTCGCAGGTTACTCATGACAAGTGTCTCCGCATGCCGAATTTCTCCAATTTGATTTTGACCTATACAGTTAGTCCCTCCGCTTATCGAGGTCGCCTTTTGGTCGAGCTCGGTGAGCGGACTTCATTAATCGTAGTTCGAGAAATTCGGATGGGGAGGTCAAATGTTAATTAGGGTGTGGAGACCGAATGTAAATTCGGGCGAGGATGCCGAATGTTAATTCGGGCGTGGAGACCGAATGTGAATTTGGGCGAGGAGGCCGAATGTTAAGTCGGGCGTAGAGACCCAATGTGAATTCGGGCAAGAAGGCCGAATGTTAATTCGGGCGAGGTGGCCGAATGTTAATTCGGGCGTGGAGGCCGAATGTAAATTCGGGCAAGATGGCCGAATGTTAATTTGGGCGTGGAGGCCGAATGTTAATTCGGGCAAGGAGGCCGAATGTTGATTCGAGCGAGGAAGCCGAATGTTAATTCGGGCTTGGAAACCGAATGTAAATCCGGGCGAGATGGCCGAATGTTAATTCGGGCGTGGAGACCGAATGTAAATTCGGGCGAGGTGACCGAATGTTAACTCGGGCGTGGAGACCGAATGTAAATTCGGGCGAGGAGGCCGAGTGTAAATTCGGGCATGGCCGAGTATTGATTCGAACGAGGCCGAATATTAATTCCGACGAGGCCGAATGTTGATTCGGGCGAGGCCGAGTATCGATTCGGACGAGGCCGAGTGTCGATTCAGATGAGGCCGAGTGTCGATTCGGATAAGGCCGAGTGCGAATTCGGACGAGGCCGAATGTTGATTAGGACGAGGCCGAGTATTGATTTGAACGAGGTCGAACTCGCCCGAGTGGATTCGGGCGAGGCCGAGTGTCAATTCGGGCGAGATCGAATGTTGATTCGGGCGAGGACGAGTGTTGATTCGGACGAGGCCGAATGTCTATTCGGGCGAGGCCGAATGTGGATTCGGACGAGACCGAATGTTAAATCGGACGAGGCTGAGTGTAACTTGTGTAATTTATGCAGCATCGCTTTGGCAAAAATGCGGGTGAGCTTCATGCGCTTATGCTTTTCTTACGCACATCGGAAGAATTTACCTATTTTCCGAGCTGGCAACCCAGTCCCAGTCTATATGGTATCTGGGAGAATGTCCCTGCTTCTATCCCACTTAGAAAAATAGTCAGTTAAACCAAATGAAATCGTTCGTTACCTCGATTTGATCGATCGGCGAGTGGGGAGGAGTGACCACGTTCCCTTCTCCAGTTATGCTTTTAGTGGCCGCTACCAGTGTGGCAAGGCTGTCTGCTTCGATGTTTTGTGCTCGGGGTATCTGGTCGAGTTGACACTCGTCGAACTCGGGCAGTAGCTTATGAATTTCTGCCTGATATTTTAGTAGCCTTTGTTCTTTTATTGGGAAAGTCCTTGTGACTTGGTTGATGACGAGTTGTGAGTCATATCGAAGGATGACTCGCCGTGATCCATACTTGAGAGCTAGTTTCGGTCCAGGTTCACATGAATTGGAACAGAGGGAGTATATAATATTCTTTAGTATCTTATTTGCACAAGCACCAAATACAAAAACTATATGGTGTATCAAATTCGCCTGGCTTCCCTGAAGATGCTCCATAGCCAGAATAGTCATATTACTCTGGATTCATGGCGATTAAAGGCAGACAAAATTCGCCGGAGTTATGAAGGATTTACCGGCAAGAATTGGACGGAATCTGATTTTCGCGGCAGAATTCAGATGCCAAAACGCCAATGAACAGAAAGTGAACAGAGAGTGGAACTAGAATTGAATTTTAGATCTAGAGGAAACTAAAATTTTAACTAGAAAATCCCCACAAACGGCGCCAAATTGTTTGACCAAAAAGGTATGAGACCTTTTTGTTAAACTAATTATGAAATAAGAAGATAGAGGGTAAATCCTAGTTAAGGATAATTAACTCTAGATCTGAGATGAATAACATGAATAGAAGAATACAGTTGAGTATAGATGTTGGCATTGATTATGGCCAGATTTAATAGTATGAAAAAAGATGCATTAAGTAACATTAAATGGCAATAAAATATAAATAAAGGAAAAGTCACCCAATCTTGAGTGAGGCGGATCCTCTTTCATTTGATAAAGATGAATGATAGACAAATACAATAATCTTAAGGCCCTTGTCGGATCTGGTGGAGGTTATGGGATCACAGATCCTCTAATCTCTTTAGAGAGATGTGTTTATCTCTTTTCTAGAGAGAGAGAGAGAGAGAGAGAGAGAGAGAGAGAGAGAGAGAGCCCCTTCTTTAGAAGTCTTCGCTTCCTCTTTATAAGAAATATCCCTAGAAAAACCTAAAAAAGTACAAGTAGAGAGAATATCCAGTAGAATCTTCCCTTTGAAGATTCCAAAGCAAAACTAACTGTTACATCTATTTGCACTGCTCGACCTCAGCCTTATTGATCACTGCTCGACCTCGGCCTTGTTTATCACTTCGGTTCGCAGGTTACTCATGACAAGTGTCTCCGCGTGCCGAATTTCTCCAATTTGATTTTGACCCATACACCGATCCGCTAAGAAAAGACGGAAGGCAAAGAGAAAGTACTACTTTACTTAAGTTAAGATGAATTGTAAACATAGAAGCTTGTAGATACGAATGGAAGCAGAAGGTGAGACATTTCAAGGAGCTTCTTCATTATTACATATTGTCCCTGTTCTACACTTGTCTAACTTTCTCGATTCTTAGCATGTATGATATGGCCCCCCTATTTTCCTATTTTCTTTTGTGGTCTAAGGTATGGTCCCCTATAATTGTTACTAGTAGATATTTGGCAGCTATGTTTCCAACCTTTTACACATTCCTTTTGTATGACAAAAAAGGGAACGTTCGTCTTTGCATCTTTGACAAATATTCTATTTACAACATCAATTTGAATTCCTTCCTCTCTACTCCTCAGTTTCAATTTATGTCAACCTATTTTCTTTTTGGTCCGTTCCAAAAAGAATGATCCCTTTCTAAATTTAATAACAATTTAACTTAAATTTACAATTTTAACCTTAATGAGAAGCTTTTATAATTACACAAATACTCTGGGCCCATCTTAACTTATTTAGGACTACAAATTCAAAAAGTTTTCATTTTTTCTTAAATTCCGTACTCAGTCAAATATGTTCACATAAATTGAAACAGAGGGTAGTTTCGTTTGACCCATGAAATGCATAGACAAATGATACGGATGAAATAGAAAATTGCATCGAAGTAATAATAATAGAACATGGCTGAGAACAAACTTAATGACTTGGAATTCCTTAGCTCTGATCACCCCTTCAGGTTGTCCGCCATACAGTTCTTTCAACCAACCAAAGAAAGGTGTGAACTAATTTTCTGGCTAAACTTACCTCTCCACTTTTGTCGCTGCTTTCCTGAGGTTTAAAGTCCTTTATCTTGATCGACAGAACAAACATTTGGCTCTTATTTTTGGGATCAATTTTGAATACAAACGACCACTATGTTTAAATTTCAAAGATGTTGGAGTTGACGATATGAACTTCTTACCGACCTTATTGCTCTACTTAAGTTTATCTTATTCTCATATTATACAAAAACAACAACAACTATGACAATGATCATGATGATAATCTCTGCATTTTTTACAGGCACATAAATTTCAATGTAAAAGATATCGAGAATTTAACACCTAAAGTAAAAGCATTAATTACATTACTAGAACTTAATTCCAACTAATTAGTATCTGTCATATGAACTTTTTCTATTCCTAATTTTCACTAGGTCTACGCGGATTTAGAGAGATTCTACATCTCTTGAGACAACTTTGATCTATCGATCTTTTCCCCATTTATCATTGTTCGCTCATCATAATTGCACCCTATACATTGGTGTATATAAAGATTGACGCAAGATACGATTAAATCATTGATTAGTATATATAAAAATTAACGCATTAGACGCTTGCTATTTGTATCTTTTATCGAGTGTGATCATTGTTGACCTGTAAATACTCTGTCTAATATAAATCTATGCATTAGAATAAAAACAAACACATAATTTGAATAGTAACAAAACTCCCGTTTGATGCGATCGAACCTTAAGAACCAACAGTAGAAGCTTAATTTATTGCCTATATATATATTCAGCGACAAAAACTTGGACTAGTTTATCTATTCACGGACTGAACAAGGTTTAACATGCAATACTAAATCCAACCTAACTCCTCTCTGTAATTGTTTATTAGTTCCACAATTCATCAATTGAAAAGATAAATATCGCCTATATTTCTTTATCTTGTTAAAATCTATAATATTCATAGGTTGTGCTCTCGGGATATTCAAGGTTTTACTGTTTCGAATTGGAATTGCAATTGATTTTGCCAAATCATGAAGAAAATTCTGTCACACATTCGTTAAAGGACTGAATTCAGATGTGGAAAAAGTTTTGCACTCTATATATTGATGGCAATCGATGAAACAAAACCGGATACTAGTAGCATTTCACTTGCATTAAACAGGAGATAGAGTGCCTACATATTTAGCATAAAACATCTAAAAAATATAAAGAAGACAAGGATAAGATAACCACTCCTACATCTCTACCATTTTTATTACAGAGTCAGACTATCAACAGAGTAACAAAATCTTATCCAATTTTAACCTCGATAGTTTTGGGTTTCTTAGGCTCAGGTGGAGGCAACTTCTGGACAGTAACAGTCAAAACTCCATCTTGACAAACAGCAGAAATCGCATCAATATTCGCATTCTCAGGCAGCGTAAACTTCCTCATGAATTTCCCAATCCTTCTCTCCATTCTGATATACTTAGCCCCTTCTTTCTCTTCTTCCCACTTCCTTTCTCCACTGATCAGCAACACATTGTCATCTTCCACTTGCACCTTAATATCTCCGGATTTCAACCCTGGCATGTCCACTACGAAAACATAGGAATTCGGGTACTCTTTCACGTCGGCTGGTGTTGCAGCCATGGCCTTAGCATCACGTACATAGTTCCTCGATGGGGCGTTGACGGACTTGTCGGAATCGTCACCGGCTGTGTCCATGAGGTGATGGAGAGTCTGGAACAGTGGAGTGTCGATACCCATTAGCCTGAAATCCATCCTCCTCCTCTTAGATTAACTGAGTGAATTTCAATTTTGAGATATTTAGGGATTTTGTGTTTGGGGTATTTTAGCTGGTTTTTCGCTTTGGATTGCAGAGAATGCTGTGGGAAGATGGGATGATTATATAGTGTAAACATAGAAGCTTCTGGAAGGAAATGGAAGTAGAAGGTGACGTATTTCTAGGAGCTTCTGTTCCTTACATTGTCCATGTACGACACTTGTCTAGAACTTGTCGATTCTTCGCATATAAGATCTGGTCCCCTATTTTTCTTTTTTCTTTTGTGGTCTAAGGTACGGTCCCTACTATAGGTTAATTCGCTTTTTGGTACTTTACAAATTTATTTTTAGTTTTTTGATCTTATCTTTTTTTTTTTTTAATACATGAGAGATTTATTTTTATATGTAAGAGATCTCTCTTTTGTATATAAGAGAACTAAAAAGGTCATCTTCTTAAAGTTAAAATTGTAAAAGCATATGGTGTACAAATAACACTATATATTATATATAATTGTATGTTACGTAGTAGATATAAGGGTGTCTAAGGGGTGAGCCGGGTCGGGCTGGGTAGGAAAATTAGTAACCGTACGGATTGGGTTTCGGGCCGGTTACGGGTTGGAGCTTACCAGGTTTAACGGGTTGTAAAAGCGTATGGTGTACAAATAACACTATATATTATATATAATTGTATGTTACGTAGTAGATATAGGGACTATTTCTGAACAGGCTGCTAAAGACCTAGTTTGGTACCCTCCACAAAACTGGTGTAGGGCTTATTTTGACACAACATGCAAGAATCAGATGGTTGATAACAACTGCACAGAATCATTCAACAAATGGATTCTAGAGGCAAGACACAAACCAATAATCAAGATGTTAAGAGAAATTAGAGTCAAGATAAATTACTATTTTAGTGGTTTATGTAACTAACCGATTTTATGTATGCTTATCATAGTGTTTGATTATTGGTTTTCCCTTGTTTGAAAAGTAATGAAAATGTTAAAAGATCATGAAGATGAATGTAGGACTTGGAGAGATGAATTCAGTCCATATGCCATGGAGTTATTGGGTGATTTCAGAGAAATTGCACAAGGGTGTGAAGTTGATTTTAATGGTGACTTTGGTTATGAAGTGCATGAAGGTCCAGAGAAGCATACTGTTAATTTTCAACTAAAGAAGTGCACCTGCAGAACATGGGACTTGATAGGAATTCCATGTCCCCATGCAATTAGATGTTTAATTGACAAGAAAGAAGAGCCATTGAGTGAAATGCATTGGTGGTACTTAAAGGAAGCTTACATGGATGTGTATATGCATAAAATACAACAGTTAGAGGTAAAAAATTCCGAAAGGTAGAACCACATCATGCAATGGAGCCACCAGAAATTGTCAAAATGGTTGGTCGACTAAAGGTAAAGAGAAAGAGAGAAAAGGATGAGGCAAGGAAGAGATAGGGGGTTTGGTCAGCTTCAAGAAAAGGACTTGTCATGACTTGTGGATACTGCAGTGAGAGAGGTCACAACATCAGAAAATGTCCTTTGGTAATGTTACTCATTCCATTCTTATTAACTTCAAAAAAATTTAAGTACAATAACTCTAAATGTGATACCTTCATTGCTTGATCTTCTAGGTGAAAGGGAAACATAGCCATTTCTTCCAAGATGAAAAATCTTCCCAAGAAGTACAAGATGTGCCCTTGACAGCACCCCAAGATAGTCAAACTTCTGAATTTGTTTTTGTTCCTACACCTGGAATGAGGCCAATGACAGCAGCCCAAGACACACATCAACAAAACACCTCTACTCACAGTGAAATAACAACAGAACCAACAACAGTAGCACCATCAGCAATGGCAACAGCATCACCAGCACCATTAGTTGTTCTGGATGATGACTATGACTATGAAGATGGAGATGCAATATCTGAAGATGAAGATGAACATCCGGTTTTGAGACCTAAGGTGATATCTGAAGCTAAGACTAAGCTTCAAAAGAAAAAGCTGAGGCAAATGCCAACTGGTACAAGGAAGATTGCATTCAAGGGTGATGAATCTGGTGCCAATGTGCCTACAAACTTACCATATTCACCAAGGAAAGTCACTTGGAAAGGCAAAGCAGCAATAACATCAAGACAACTATTGGCAGAAAAGGAAAAAAAAGTTGGTAAATTGAAGGCTAAGAAGATCAAGCTCTAGGGACCTCAACTGTGTTTGAATGACTAATTTTTAACTTAGGAAACGAAACTATATTTTTGTGATGAGTGATTCATAACTTATTAAGTATTATTTTTATGGTGAATCAGTTGTGAAAGTTGTATTGATTCACCCAAAAATCTTTTGTTGGGCTTATATTAGGGTGAAGCACATTGTGACAAGTGGTTGTTAAGTATTTTGTTGGCTATATATAACTATGTCTTGTTATCTATTGATTGTGGAATTAATGTATTGATGTTGTTTGTTTTCGAATATGCATAACATGATGTTGGTTCTTGTGGCAGTACTTTAGTTCAATGAGCATAACATACCAATGAAAACAGAAATGAAAACTAAAAATTCATTGAAAACGGAAATACAAAAATACAGTACAAAGATTATGATCCTTACTAAGCAAAACACAACTACAACGACAACTGCAAATTTAACCTAACTAAAAGCTGTAAATTCCCTTCATTAAACAACTATGCCAACAATCTGCAATTTGCTAAGCCATAATATCATAAACCTTACTAAAAAATAACTTCTCTACATCATCTTGCAGATTTTGTAAGCTACAACGACCAACAGATTCCTATGGTCACCACATTTGGACACTACTAACCAAAACACAACTTCTCTACATCATTTTGTAAGCCACAAATATAACAAAAATAGCCCATGACCATATTATAAATTTTTTCCATTGCTTCAATTTCAACTCCAAATTTGAAACTTTCTCCTACAATGCAAATACATTATTCAAATTTCCAGCTTTACTACCAACCATATCATCGACCATCTTCATAAACTTATTCCTTTCTTGTCGAAGAGCATCCACTGTAATTTTTTGCTTGTGGATAAATATTGATACATGAGGTGGAAGTTCTTCATCGCACCATTCCCTATAACGACAACCATTACTCTCGTAACGAGGACATTTATAGAATCTACGATCACCATTCATAGGTGTCGTAGCAGTAAAATGAATGGCTACCAGTCCGCAATAATAAACACGAGCATCACCTGGATCACGAGAAAAATTAGAAGAAGATTCTACCATTTGAAGCTCAAAAAGAAATGAACTCAAAATTATCAACGATTTCGAGTTAAAAAATTGGAGAGGAGAGAGGAGCACGTTGCTGAAATTTGGAGATGAAGTGGGTGGAAAATGACCTAACGTCGGGTGTTTTGGGGGGGGGGGGGTAAAACAATGTTTGCTGGGTCGGGTCAGTATATTTGGGTTATGGGTGGGGTAAAATCTGGTTTGGGGTGTGCCTTAATTAATACCCAATCAGAACTAGCCACGTGAAATTAATAAAATGTTAAAAAAAATCATAACTCACCCGTTAAAACTAAGGGCACAAATATGCCAGATTTTTAACGGTAGGGTCATTCTTAGCAAAATAGGTTAACGAAAGGCATTTTTAGGCTGGAGTTGATACGTTAGGTGCAGGTCTGGCCCTTTTCCGTTCTACATTCTCTCATTTTAACGATTGTTGTTTGTACCTTTTGTCGTGTTACCTAGTTTGAATAATAGTACTAGTAATCAGAGCCGACTGGAGCTTAAGGCCACTAAGGCAATGGCCTTAGGCCCCAAAATATTTAGGGCCCCAAAGTTTATAAATAATACAATATTTAATAATTATACACTATTGATAGAATTTTTAAATCATTTGGTTAAAATAGTTATAGCTACTAGTTGTTTCATGTCTTTAATTCGTCGTAATTTAAATCGATCTTCTTACAATGATAGTTTAGAAGAATTTTTATTAGTTCTTTGAGGGCCTCTATAGATATTTTTCAAGCTACTTTGATAAGTAACTATTAAAATTCGTCCTAAAGATTGAATGACTCTTGAAACATAATAATTACTACAGTATTATTTGTTTCAACTTATATTTAGGATTAAAAGTGCTAAGAGAAACTATATAAGCGGAAGAATACTCTAATTGACAAACTCAGTCAGATAAAGAGTGTTAATTCAATTACCGTTAACATTTTCTATATCAATTGACTCGATTGAAAAAGTTCTTCAAAACTAAATCAATAAAGTTCAACGTAATAACACAAGAGAGATTAAACAAATTGGTTAGACATTGACAATAATTAGAACTGATTATAACTTCTTTAGATGTCAAGACGTCTCTGCTAGTAATCTACCGGTTTAATCATGAATCTACGCATTAGAACAAAAAGAAAGACATAAATAATGTGATTGAACCTTGAGAACCTACAGTAGGAGCTTAATTTATTGCCTATATATTCAGCCACAAGAACTTGGACTAATGTTGTAGCGGTCTATTCAGGGACTGAACCGGTTTAATATGCAATCACCTAACTCCTCTTTATAATTGTTTAATAGTTCCATTATTCACTAACTGAAATGATAGCCAGAGTATACCGGGCTCCTTGGACGTACGTACTTCGAAGATCCATGCTTTTATCGCCTATATTTCTTCTATCTTGTTAAAACCTACTACCTCCGTTACTTTCCTTTTTAGTCTGTTCCAAAACAAATAACACATTTTTAAATTTGAAAATAATTCAACTTTAAACTCTTTCATTTTACCCATTTACCCTTAATGAGAAGTTTTTATAGTCACACAAATATCATGACCCCACAAACTTTTTACCCCTTAAACTTTTAAAGTCACAAGTTTCAAAAGTCTTTTCTTTTTTCTTAAACTCCGTGCCGAATCATACTACCTTATCTTTTCTTAAACTCCGTGCCGAATCAAACTATCTAACGGAATGGAGGGAGTATAACATTCATAGGGTGTGCTCTCGTGATAATTCAAGATTTTACTTTTTCGAATCGGAGTTCCAATTAATTTTGCCAAATCTTGAAGAAAATCTTTCACACGTTCGATAAAGGCCTGAATTCAGATAATGAAAAGTTTTGCACTTCTTTATTTTGTAAGAAATTGCACTCTATATATTGAAGGCAATACATCGAAGAAAAAAAAAACGGGACACTAGTAGCATTTCACTTGCATTTTAAACAAGAGATAGAAGACCTACACATTTAGTTTCATCATATTCCATAAAACATAGAAAATATAAAGAAGACAGAGAGAGAAAAACCACTCTTAGATCTCTACCATCTTTATTACGTCATACCACCAAGCATCAAAACAGAGCACTTTTGTAACCACAAAACAGAGTAACAAAATCTTATCCAATTTTAACCTCGATAGTTTTGAGTTTCTTAGGCTCAGGTGGAGGCAACTTCTGGACAGTCACAGTCAAAACTCCATCTTGACAAACAGCAGAAATCGCATCGGTATTCGCATTCTCCGGCAGAGTAAATTTCCTCATGAATTTTCCAATCCTTCTCTCCATTCTGATACACTTAGCCCCTTCTTTCTCTTCTTCTCTCTTCCTTTCTCCACTTATCAGCAGCACATTGTCGTCTTCCACTTGCACCTCAATATCTCCAGATTTCAACCCTGGCATGTCCACAACGAAAACGTAGGAATTTGGGTATTCCTTCACGTCGGCTGGTGTTGCAGCCATTGCCTTAGCGTCACGTACATAGTTCCTCGATGGGGCGTTCACGGACTTGTCGGAATCTTCACCGGCGGCGTCCATAAGGTGCTGAAGAGTGTGAAAGAATGGTGTGTCGAAGAGTGTGAAAGAATGGTGTGTCGATACCCATTAACCTGAAATCCATTTTCCTCTTCTTAGATTAACTGAGTGAGTTCCTATTTGTAGATATTATGAGATTTTGGGTTTGGTGTATTTCAGTTGGTTTTTCGCTTTGGATTTGCGGAGAATGTTGCGGGAAGACGGGAGGATTATATAGTGTAAACATAGAAGCTTCTAGATGGGAATGGAAGCAGAAGGTGACATATGTTCAGGAGCTTCTGTTCCTTATATTGTAATGTTCTACATTTGTCTAGAATTTTGTCGATTCTTCGCACGTAAGATATGGTCCCTCATTTTCCTTTTTTATTTGGTGGTCGTGGTCCCCTATAATTGTATATTACTCCTAGTAGATATCTGGCAAATATGTTTCCAACTTTTTACACATTGCATCCGAGAATTTTATGGACCCAAAATTATAAGATTAGGTTCACAAATTTGTGAGACAAAAACAAGTCTCACACAATTAATGTTAGTTGTACGAGGCACACCATAAAACTTCCTGACAAAAAAAGAGAAACATTCGTCTTTGTATCTTTGACCATACTTTTATTAGATCAATTAGTATCATTTGAATTCCTTCTTTTCTATATCTGACTAGTTAAATGAGAATTTCGTTTGACCCATGAAATGCATAAACCGCTGTGGATGGAATAGAAAATCTCATCGAAGAACTAATAATACAACACCGGTGAGAACAGATTTAATAACTTAGGAGTCGTTTGATAGGATGTGTTAGAATACCACTGAATATGATATATTAGTAATATTATAATTAGCAATGTTAAGATTAGTTATGTTGGAAATAATTTTGTTCAAATTACTTTTTATCGAGTGCTTGGTTTTGCGTATTAAAAATAACATGTATTGTATAATTTAAAAAAAAAAATATTTGTTTAGAAAAATACCCTTAGACGATTTGAAGAAGTATTTGAAAAAGGGATTTAAAATAGTAATTTTGCCTTCATACATGTTTATCCATATATTAAAATCATAATATTACTAAAGCTATGATTTGATATGTATAAAAATAATACTGAATAAGCTATATAACTAATAAGTATTAGTTATAACATAGGATGAAAATATTATCAAACAAGAAATTAATACTACCAAAACTAATACATATTTTTTTCCTAATACATCCGACCAAACATTTCTTTAGAGTTGCTTAGCATTTTGTGCACCATACTTTTTTCTCCCGACCAAGATAGCTGGGAGCTAATTTTCTGGCTAAACTTACTGCTCCACTTTTGTGGCTGCTTTTTTGAGGTTTAAAGTCCTTTATATTGATCGACAGAACAAATATTTCACTCTAATTTTTTGGGATCTTGATTGAATCGGTCATGATCAAATCTGTTTATCAAAGTGCTTCTCCGACTGCTCAAGACATTTCTTTTCAACTGAGGAACAAAACAAGATCATTTTATTCCATTTTTTATAAAATAGTGAAGGATATTCCATTAGTAATGAATTTTGAATACAAACAATAATATATCTCAATTTGAAGATGTTGGAGTTGATGATATAAACTCCTCACTGACCTTATTGCTCTAATTAAATTCATCTTATACTCATATTATACAATAACAATAATAATGATGACAATAATGATGATGATGATGATCATAATAATCTTTGCATTTTTCTACAAGCATGTAAAAATTTCAAATGTGAAAGACATCGCTCCTAAAAAAAACATAGGACCTAAAGCAAATACATTAAATACACTACTAAAACTTAATTCCAACCAACTGGCATCGCTAATATGAACTTTTTTTATTCCTTATTTTGACCAGGTCTATGAGGATTTAAAGATATTGTATATTTGAGACAACTTTGATCTATATTTTCCCCATATATCATGTTCGCTCGCCATAATTGCATGTTTGCACCCTATACATTGGTATATATAAAAAACTAGATGGCCCGAGCCCGTGCAAAAGCACGGGCATTTGTGTGAAATTGTTGTGCGCAAGATAGTAGTACCACAAAGCTAAATATTGGTATAATGTGTTTAATATTAAGATAAAGTACATCATGCATATAGATGTATATGCGGAACAAAGTTGCAGAGGTACATTCTTAAGCTTGCTAGAAAGTCCAAAACAGTCAAATTGTTCATGGTCATGTTGGCGAGATTGGATAAAATCTTGAGTTTAGGAGCTGCAACTGGCAACCCATGCTTCATCCTGCTATTCACTAAAAGACATGGAAAAGCATGCATTAAAAATAAAACATGATCTACAATAAAAGCAATGGCAAAGACAAAATATTAACATCAGGAAATATTGGTGAGGCATAGAAGGGGTTCTTGAGAAAATTGTGGCAATGCTGGAAACAGAATCCCATGGTAGCAAAAATTTCAACATAATGTAAGATCAGTGGGAACATGAGATCAAAAATGGACCTTACTGCTCATATAAAGTAATTCTTCACCATGGTCATTCTTCCGTGAAAGATCTTGTTTTCCATGTAGCCATGCAGGCTAACCTGGAAATAAAAAATGGAGAAATGTCATCTGATTTTAAAGTTATATCCCAAATTCAGTACCCAAAAGAAGACCAATAATTCATTGTTTCCAGTGCAGAGTTTAAACAAAATGTCTGAAAAAGATTATTCAACAATGAATATGAAAGTAATGCACCATTTCTGTATGTAATAAGAATGCTATCAAGTGTAAGTTAGAAATCCTTATAACCCCTTTTAAAAGGGTAAGGAGAGTACAATTACACATTATATACAACACCAGGAGGTGTTGCCAAATTTACAATATGGGAATATCTAATAGTCAAAGTATTGAAAAAAGAAGATGTCACCTATTGGTGCATCAGTGTGCAAATCTTATAGAGTTATCACATACATGTGAAAATTCAACCAGAAATTATCCTAAAAGAAAAAGAAGATCAAACCATCAAACACTAAAGTTATATATTTTGAGACTTGATTGAAATACATGCATGGTTGAATAGACGGAGGAACACACAAAGAATGAGTCCATTTTCATGCTTCAGTAGTGACGTATTGAAAAGTTATTATAGAAATCTAAAAGGAACATCAAAATCAGATAACAAGTACATAAAAAATAAAGGACAAAAAAGCCTGAACTAAGCAGGGAACCAGTAGACTAAGAGCAAAAATTGGGCAAAAAGTAAAGTAAAAAGAAGAATAAGAAGAACTCACCAAGAGAAAGAGCAAGACAACGCAGAGAGAGGGTGGAAGAAATTAGAAAATGGAAAAGGAAAGCTCTTGTGGAATTACAACGAAGAAGAAGAAGAAGCTGAATATATATATGCGCTTTTCTTTACTTTCCTCTTTTGACAGGAGAGGCACCATAACTTTTCGGGGTTTAAATGTGCTTTATCCTAAGGTATTTTGTTTTGCCTTTTATTGTTATTCTCTTGCTCTGTTTTGTAAGTTTTGTTCTCTAACGCTTGTAGCTTGCTGCTGGATTTTTTGGTTGTTTATTCTTTCTCTTTATTGATGATTTTTCGAACTTGGCTGACATGCAAGCGAAAATATGCTTGAAATTTGGTTTGGTTCTCTGCATTACATTTGGATAACCTCCTTCAACTCCAAACATTTGAAAACCCACCATTATTTCCTCTATGAGTAAGTACTTAGTCCTATACTTCTATCTCTCGAGTATTCTTTTCTCTAAGTCTCTCTAAATAATATTTTATATACTTTAATGCCCGACTTGTTCTTGTCAATCGAGACCTTTTGTGAGGTTCTTAAACATATTATATGAGACGACAAAGACGGTAGGAACGCAGAGGCTATGGAGAAAATGAACTAATCTCAAATGACATGTCAAAGCAATCAGTTTCATATCTATTTTTCCCACGAAAACTCGTTTGTGCTTTACCCGAGCTTATTAACAGGCAGAATGTTTACAAACAATAAAATCCATACAAACTCCAACTACCAACATGAAAATTTAAATGTTATGTAGTGCCTCCTTGAGAAACACTTTCGTGGCACCCACTTCTACAACATTTGTAAAGCAGCCAATTTCACCTCACTGACTCATTGGTGACCTTCATTTACTTTGTATAAACCAGGCTACTCCTAAAAAGAGTCTCTTGAGGCAACCGCTTCTCAACAAGCATTAAAAAATTAAAGATATTTAGGAGACTTGGAAGGAAGAGCTAATTCCCTGGATAACTCAAACAGATGCTCACCTACCATCAGGTTGACCAATTGTCTTTTGCTATGGCAATCTTGTTTATTCTGTTTTTAATTATTTTGGTTCCTAGAGATTTTTACTACAAATTTAGAATTCAATTGTTTTATATTCTCATCATCTTTTAGCCAAAGAGGGACATCATGTAGAGTAGGAATTTCCTCCGCAAAAAATGAGAAACTTTGAGAATGTACTATTTTACTTCATACACAAAAATAATACTCAGAAAGAGGCAAGAAAGATGAAATGAAAATCTACCAATAGATAAACTTAGAAACAAAAAGATAAAAACTAAACCAGTAACAAACATATGAGGAGGAAACCATTGGATTTATGAGTTAATTCTTCCTTTGTCTATCATTCTTCCAACTTGTAAAAAATAGAAATGCCTATTACAAATAAGAACGGTAAATCACCTTACCTTTACACTTTTATTTGTCTAGTTTCATTCTTTTTGTATATTCGTTGAATCAAAGAATTTATTTTCTTGCATGTGGATAACGACAACAAATAGACAATGAAGGACCAACACCTGAGATGATGGAGAATGGATCCTGTCTATCTTATTCTCTATCATAAAAGTATTGTATTGTTCTCAGGTTAATGCAGATTTATGTCATGTATGAGCCAAACAATAGTCAACAACTTTTTCTCATCTACTACTTCAAGTCATATCTCCTAAAATCTTTACCCATGATTAATCAGCTCACAGATTCTTGAGAGTCTATGCAAAAGCATGTTGTCAAATAAATCATATAGGATTTGTCACACTCCATACTGCCTAGAAGTGTAATCAATGATTACATTTTGATAAACTCGAAATCAGTTCAAAATCGACATACCAACAATTTCTGAAGTCCCCATCACCATCAAAATGTGAAACAAGCAAAAAAAAGTATTATCCTTTCCTTTTATTTCCTCTGTAGTCACCGC